ACTTATGATGACAACTATAGCAGAAGACTTCGGACATAGTGCGTCCAATTAACTAACCTTGACAATGCGAATAAATTGTGAACACGAATTTAGACCAGTTATACAAAGTGAAAAAGATTCACGATGGATTTTGTATACAATGGAAAAAAAATTATCTGGCTATAGGGAAAATCCTTTGAGCCTATCTTCTGATCCAGAGTCAGAACAACAAATGATGAAAATATGCTAACATTTATAAAGAAAATACCATAAAAACTAGATAATGATAATGACAAAAGGATACTAAGAAATGGAATAACAGAAGATAGGTATTGGAAAATTGCACTCCCAAAAGGAGTTAAAATGTAAAGCTACCACACCTTAAAAAAGTTGTCACATTAAATAGAAAAATAAGGCCATAGAAAAAAAGGCAATTAAATTCTGAATTTTGTGATAGAAACACCCGTCTAGCAAAATTGAAAAAAATATATAATTGGGATCTGTCAAGCGAAAAATGTAATTAAAACTTTAGGAAGATAAGAGTTGTAATTAGATTATGGGAAACAAAAACGTTAATTGGCTCTGCTATAAGTAGGTATTTAATTGGAACAGGGACAAGGGCCCCTGATCAGTGATCATAAAGCTGATACTCATGGAGAAGACCACGACGTAGATTGACATGCACAGCAGATGCAGTCTCATACATAGGAAGGTCGTAAAAAGGCTGGCAAAAAAAACGCTGATCAGCATTTAGCTTATCGCTGCAAACACCAGAACCTGCAACCTCAGCATTATCTAGAATTCCTGCAGTAAAACAAGTCTTAAATCTTGATCCAAGAGGCTTGAAGTCATTGAGCAATTGGCTGTCCATTGTATCGCAGTCGCCAACAACCTGTAAAAAGTAAATAAAATTCCAATTTCTAAGAGCAATCAACAGAAAACAATACACACAGACGATTTAATCGGAAGGATAAGTAGCCAAAAAACTTAGAATCAAGATAAATTTAAAATCAACCTACAAATTTCTCGTATATCTTTGATATGCTTAATGAGGGATCCAAATAAGTTAATCTCTTGGCACAGCATTACTAGGGATAACTAGCGTTTTGATATGAGAATAACCAGGGCTGACCAAAATAGCTTATCTGGCATGCGAATGAAATGATAAAATTTTGGTAGGTAGTGTCATGTGATGAGACCTATTGGTCCTAAAAGAACACCTACGTCGAAATCTCATGTGAAACAAAAGAGCAAGGAGCTGCGCTCGTAATATATATACGGTTTCATTCAAAACAAGGAAAAACATCTAGCGGACTGCATCAACATGAACGTAGTATTAAAGTAACAAGGGTGAAGAAAAACGGGAATCAGCCGTTGTCTTCCGGTGGGATCAACAGAGAAATCTGTTCATGCACTTTTATACGAGATGGAAGTCACCCCAAAAAGTTAAATCAGCTTGTTTATTCAACTAAATAGCTTAAGAAAAACTCCCACTCATTTTCCTGCGTTGCAAAACATCACAAAGTTGTCCATATACCTAACCGACAGTCTAGCAATAAGAAACACTTCTTGCAATAAACGAGCCATGTGGTGGTTTGATAAAATTGGAAACAGATATGATTCCATTAATAAATCCAATGTGCTCATACATAGAGATCGTACATAAAAATACATATAATTCAGTACTCGTTTTCAATCTCACGGTTGACTCAGCTTAGCTATTTACCCATTTTAAGATGTTGATGTAAGTTGGCTCTAAGCGCAGGATGGACGAAAGCTAAGCCCAGATTAACCAAAATAGCAGGAAAACTTGCCACACAAATCAACAATCAAAATTCTAAGTAAATTATCATTCGCTTCCCTAAACTATAAATTAACTAATCCAATCCATCCAACAAATTATAGAAATTAAAAGGCCCAATGACATGAAGCCATTAAGATGGCCTTTAAGACAGCATAAATTTATTTCCAAACTCGGACCGTGGACGTGGCACATTCCCAATGGGACTTCGCTATTTGTAAACAATGGCCAAGGTTTTAATGTTATAATTTCTATCGAAAAACCGATTGTTTGTGCAGTCGCACAGACCTCTACCCAACTAGCCGATAGCTTTCAGCATCCAAAGCGAAAGTATTAGAAAGTTCAACTCCAAAGTTGAAATCAAAGCAGCTACACTCCCGTTTGCCTCTGACTTAGCTTTGCGCCAGTATCCTTAGACTATACTGCTACAAAATGTAGCCATAGACTAAATTGTCTCGAAACTTAACTTTTC